TAATGACATTGACTGTATTTTGAGTATAATTGGAATAGAATTTCACGTAATGCGAAGGCTTCAAGTCCACATTTATAGCACAATAACAATTCATATTTCTAATTCTTAACTTCAATTCTAACTAGTTATTTGATAATTTTCTAATCTTCTGTCAAAAATGGGAATTATCAATTTTTTTCAGTAAAATATAAGTTTTTTTTGACAACTTTCCATGTTTTCGTTGTTCGCGCGTTCTTACCGTAAAAAGGGTGAGCGTATTCTGACGGATAAGCGAAGTTGGGGACCCCTATTTTTTATTTCCTTTTTTTACTTCTAGTATGWTGTTCTTTCGTTATGGAAAGTGTTAAAATAATCTGACGATGGAATATTTTGCACATGAACGTTCTTAAGGTAAAGAACAGATGGCCTTGGCTATTCTCACTGGACGTTCTCTCTGGACTCGCACATTTTAGCTCGTTTGCGTTCTACGAGAAGTAAAGAAAAAAACTCTTAATTCTACACATCATTTATCGCTGCGCCGTGGGAGCTAGGACACATTAATGAAAGGTAAAGGGAAGGATCGAAGAAAACCATGTCACAAGTACCAGCTCAGCCAGCTCAGGCTATCGTACTAGCTGTTCCTCAGGCCGACCCGCCGCCTCTGAATCAACAATCTCAGCCAAAACCGCAACCACAGAATCATTTACTTCAAATTGGGCATGCCCAAGAAGCACAGAATCCCTTTCAAGACGCTTTTGGCGGTCACGCCGAAGTAGTAGGTAATACTTTTCGTCTGAGTTGCTCCTGTAACGTGCAGCTATGGCATTTTTATATTATTGGTTATAGTCGCTCACGGTTTCGGTTTCAATATTGTTGCTTTTGTCATTATTCAGTACCTCGTGTAGATGCTTACTGGTAGTAAACGTAAGTTATTGATTTGGCAAAGTTCGGCGACTTGTTTAGTCGCTCACAATAATCGTCAATTATTTGGCAAAGTTCAGCCACGTGTGAAGTTGGTCGCTCAAAATACTAGTTGGGTGTCTGGTGAGTCGAGCGATGTATTAATAATTTCGCAAAGGTTCAAAGACGTGTGAAGTTGCTCAAAATGTTAGTTAGGTATTTGCAGAAGTTCGGCGACGTGTGAGGTCGCTCGAAATACTCGTTAATTATTTGGCAAAAGTTGGAGTTGTTTCCCTTCTCTAGCACACCTTTATCTACGCCTTCTTGTAATTCCGGTTTCCTATTTTCTGKGGACGTGAAAGCTTGTTCAGTAAATGTTTATTGGAAGGGAGACGACACCCTAAGCGCAGCAGCGCCGTTATCCCTACCCGAATCGGTTGCCGAGTTATTGCATGGTCAAAGTTTCGGAGCGGAATCTGTTGTTTAGGGATCCTCATCACGTTGCGGCGGAGAAAAGCCGCCGTCACATAGATATGTGGGGAAAGTTAGATATCACTCCCCAAAAYGAGAACAGTTCATAACCTACTTAAAATGGGATGTGAACGTAGAAGAGTTTTTTCATCCAATTTCGTGGTGACTTTCAGGGTGCACATCTTGCCTTGGCTTTGAAGAGTTCATCATTCATTCTCTTTTAGACCGTTTCAAAAACGGCTCTATCACGCTCTGGAGTAAGGCCAGTTTAGAACCCACTACGCCGAGCATATGCCGCGACGGGCGCTATCTTATTTATGGATAGGAGACCTATCCCTTAATGAAACGCTTAACTTGTGGTTATTTCCGTTGTTTCATCATTTTCCCTATTGACTATGTCATTTTCACTCAGCTTTATAGTATTCTTTCAGTGTTATTACATCTTTCTCCAACCTTGAAGCCTAGAGTTCTGAGTTTTGGGAAAGTAGGTCCTCGATTCCACCGAACTAACTATTCTCTTTTCCTGTTTCCCCGCACCCCCAACTATTAGCCAGCGCTTGATTACGAGGTAGTT